GGAACAATATCTGGAACAAACTGGAACCAACAAGGGAAGGGCACTCCTTCCCCGGGCTCCATGAGGCATCTCCTGGTTCTCCTTCCGAAACTATTTCTCTCAGTCCCCGTCTGGGACCAAACCCATCCTCCATGATAACATTCCTCTCTGTTCAGTCTTTAGATCACTTTAGATGCCCTCTGCCCTCCGCAGGCAGCTTCGCCCATGCCCTGGCTTTTACATCCCTTGAACTGTCTCCAGCTCACACCTCTTTGCAGTTTTCCAGAAGTCATCCGCATAGACAGCTCCCTGGGCTCTCCAGTGGACAATTTCAAAGGCTAACTCATCCCTTACCTCCCCCTCCCGTGAACATTCCATTTCCTCCCTCCTGTGTTCCCTGTCTTGGCACCACCACCCACCCAGCTACCTGGGTGAGAAGTTTGGGAGTCATTTCGGACCTCCCCTAGGAACATCCAATAAGCCTTGAGGTCTTCTCGTCAATCATGTTTCTTCCCATTCCCTCTGCCACTGCCTTGGTTAGTTAAGGCACTCACCTGTACCTTGGACCACTGGCAGCAGCTGGTCTCTGGCCTCCAACCAAAGTTCCTTCTGGTGCGCACCCCACCTCTAGCTGATATAGCCAACACTCCATTAAGGAAACTGTATTATCTCCTTCTCCATCTTCAAACCCATTTCTGGTTCCTTTGTGCCTAGAAGATACTAGCATAAAAGGGCCTACACATTTCACCCACCCCACCTTAACGCCAATATTAAATTCCACGTACTAAACCACTCCAAGTTTACAGAAGATGTGAGATTTTAGCCCTCTTTGCCTTGGTAAATTTGCCTCTAGTTCAACTGCCTTGCTGACTTCTAATTATTGTTTTTTGAAGAAACCAGGCTTTCAGGAATCCATCTTCCTGGGGGAGCCTTCCTTTGTACCATGTGCTTGTTTCTGTCCTTGCTTTATTGTCACTGTACTGCTTGGATCTGTTCACAGGTGCGTCTCCCTTTCCCACGTCAGATCCTTGAGGCCAGCACAACACCTACCACATAGTGAATGGGCAATGACCATATGACTTCCTAAACACTTAAATTATATGAAAATGTCATTACTGTAGTTCAAATTTTAACAGTTCAAAGTCCACATCCAAGAGAATCTTATCCAGATCAAGCTCTGCAGAGACAGCAATCCTACTACACAAGCTCCTTGGGAGTCACTTTCATGACCACATATCCATCACGTACTCGGTACAACAACCTAACAACCAAATGCAGCAAGTGAAACTTGGATTCTGGACTTAAAAATACAGTTATAAAGGACAATTAGAGGAAATAGAAATGGATTTTAAGTTAGGTGACAGGACTGAATTAATGTTAATTTTCCTAGGAATGATAATGATATAACAGGATGGTATGGCACAAAAACCAGTCATATGGATCAATGGGTCAGAATAGAGAGCCCAGAAACAAATCTACACACCTATGGTCAATAAATCTTCGACAAAGGAGGCAAGAACATACAATGGAGAAAAGACAGTCTCTTCAGCAAATGGTGTTGGGAAAACTGGACAGCAGCATGTAAATCAATGAAGTTAGAATATTCCCTCACACCAGACCCAAAAATAAACTCCAAATGGCTTAAAGACTTAAACATAAGACAAGACACCATAAACCTCCTAGAAGAGAACACAGACAAAACATTACCTGACATAAATCTTAGCAATGTTCTCCTAAACCATCTACTCAGCCAATAGAAATAAAAGCAAAAATAAACAAATGGGATCTAATTAAACTTATAAGCTTTTGTACAGCAGAGGAAACCATAAATAAAACAAAAAGACAACTTATAGAATGGGAGAAAATATTTGCAAAGGATGTGACTGACAAGGGCTTAATTTCCAGAATATACAAACAGCTCATACAACTCAATAAAAAAAAAAAACCCAATCCAAAAATGGGCAGAAGACCTAAACAAACATTTCTCCAATGAAGACATACAAATGGCCAATAGGCACATGAAAAAATGCTCAATATTGATAATTATCAAAGAAATGCAAATCAAAACCACAATGAGGTATCACCTCACACCAGTCAGAATGGCCATCATTCAAAAGTCCATAAACAATAAATGCTGGAGAAAAGGGAACCCTCCTACACCATTGGTGGAAATGTAGTTTGGTGTAGCCATTATGGAAAACAGTAAGGAGATTCCTTAAAAAACTGAAAACAGACTTACCCTATGATCCAGCAATGCCACCACTGGGCATATGTCCAGAGGAAACTCTAATTCTAAAAGATACATGTACCCCAATGTTCATAGCAGCACTATTTACAATAGCCAAGACATGGAAGCAACCGAAATGTCCATTGACAGATGACTGGATAAAGAAGTTGTGGTATATATATGATGGAATACTACTCAGCCACAAAAAAGAATAAAATAATGCCATTTGTAGCAACATGGATGGACCTAGAGATCATCATTCTAAGTGAAGTGCATCAGGAAGAGAAAAAAATACCATATGATATCACTTATACATGGAATCTAAAAAAAAAAAAGATACAAGTGAACTTACTTACAAAACAGACAGACTCACGGACAAATTTATGGTTACCAGGGTAAAGGGGGTGGGGAAGGATAAATTGAGAGTTCAGGATTTGTAGATACTATTATATATAAAATAAACAATAATGTCCTACTGTATAGCACAGGGAACTATATTCAATATCTTGTAATGGCTTATAATGAAAAAGAATATATATATATATATATATATATATATATATATATATATATATGCTGTACACCAGACATTAGCACATTGTAAATCAACTATACTTCAAATAAATAAATAAATAAATAAATAAATAAATAAATAATAAAAGAGCATAATATTCAGAGAGATATAGCAAATATGGCAAAATGTTAACTGATAAAAAGTGTGATTATTCTTTGTACTAATTTTTCAACTTTTCTGCATATTTGAAAAATTTCAGAATAAAACATTTGGGGAAAATGGTAAGAACACTACCAAAAATAAAAATCAGGGGAAGGGGAGGTGGGAGGGTACAGCTCAGTGGTAGAGCGCATGCCTAGCACACCCGAGGTCCTGGGCTCAATCTCCAGCACCTCCATTAATAAACAAACAAACAAACCAACAAACCTAGTTACCACCCCTGCAAAATAAACCAGTTAATTAAATGAAAAAAATAAAATAATAAAGAAATAAAAAATCAATTCAATCTTTTGACATTGAAGTGTCAGTATTACTTTTGGCCTTTCTCCCTCCCAAACCTGCAGCATGGTACCTTCCATTGCCAGGCTCACCCCTTAAAGCCTTTTTTTCATTTTAAAATTTTTATTTCTCTTTTTTTTTTTCCACTTTAAGAAAAAAAATTGGAGGAGGTAATTAGGTTTATTTACTTTCAAATGGAGTTGCCTGGGGATTGAACCCATGACCTCATGCACCCTAAGCACACACTCCACCACTGAGCTATACATACCCTCCCCTTAAAGCCACTGTATTTCAAACAGTTTTGTATTTCAAAGTTGAAAGTCACAGACATCCCTCTCAAAATACTGCAATTTGCTCTCCCAGTTGGCCGGTCATCCCAGGCTGTTCATTTTTATTTGCCTAAATGGTACATTGCTCTTTAGAAGCTTAAACAAATAAAACTGTGCTTCCTACTTGGTCCATGTAGTTTCTTGAGATTAACGATCGGAGATTTTCACAGGGGAAAACTTGAGGTGATAAGGAAGTAGCAGAAGTTGCAGAAGTAGTCTTGCTTTAATCCTTTCAGAATTGCCAAGTCTCTAGTAAGGTCTAGTGAAGTTTTTATAGCCGTGAAGGTGATTATAATTTAGCCCTTCTCTTAAACTTCTATTATATTCAGACAGAAATTAAGAAAAAAGGATTTATGATCTTTATTTAAAAGAGTTAATGAACCTAAGTATATACTCAGGGGAACTGAACATACATGGCTACACAAAAACATGTACATGCTGTTCACAGCGGCATTATTCGGAACAGCTGAAAGGTGGAAACAATCCAAATGCCTGTCAACCGGTGGAAAACAAAATGTGGCATATCCATTTAGGGGAATTTTAGTCATACAAAGGGATAAAATACTGATACACGGTACCACACGGATGAATCCTGAAAATATTATGCTAAGTTAAAGGAGCCAGTCACCAAGGCCACATAATGTGATTCCATTTATATGAAATGCCCAGAATAGGCAAATCCCTAGCGACAAAGTTTGTTGGTGTTTGCCTGAGGCTGAGGGCAGAGGGGTCAGAAATGAGGGAATGACTGCTAATGGGTAGAGGGTTCTTTCGGGGGTGATGAAAATGTTCTGCAATTAGGTGGTGGAGATGGTTCTAAAATTTTGTGACTATACTAAATGCCACTCTATTATGTACTTTAATGGAGGAATACTACAGTGTATGAATTGTATCTCAATTTTTCAAAAAAAAGTAAATGAAAAACTTCTCTATTTGGTCCCATTTTCAAGAACAGTCAAGGGGGAGCCCACGGCATGCTGGGTTTGACTGTACCTTCGAGCTCCAAGTGACCACTGGCCAGAGTGAAGAGGAGGCCCAGATTTGTGGGGTGCTCTCCATCCTCCCTTCCCCAAGTCTCTTGGGAGCATCACTGTTAGCCTTGGCATCAAAGGGGCCAATCTCAGCATGCCCCAGGTTCCTAGCACCACCAGGATCCCAGCACTTCCTCCAAGACAATCCTCATGCGCGTCTCATACCCCCATCTCATCTTCATTTTCCTCACTTACCGTTTTTCATTCATCTCCCTCCAGAACTGGTTGTGTTCAATGCTTTATCTCAGCTGCACGAGAACCATACCAGACTAATAGTAGATGCTCAATAGATTTCTGGTGAATGAATGAACTTAGAAGAAAGTTTACACAGAAATCTGCCCTGGGTGTTATTTTCAAAGATGAAGCGCCACGCTTCAAAATGTGTTTTTCTCCATAGAAATGTGTATCTAATCTTTAAGAAATCTTGCTCAAATGGTATTTTATTGCAGACAATTAAATTCACAAAATTTTACACCTCTTAAGGAAAACAGGCATCATAAACACAAACATTTCACTATGCAAAACTCAAATTTACAACAAGAAAATAAACACGGAGCTTAGTTTTGGACGATGTGGTTATTGTTGCACTACCTTTATAATTCCTCTTCCAGAGTCCGAAAACGTAGGCAAGCCCTAAAAATGTAGCAGAAGCATTTCCGCACACTGGTATCCATAATCTAGTTTGTGCAGAAGTGTTTCCACTAGATTCATAGAGTGGAAGGAAAAGGCGAGGACTGGTCATCTGGTCGCACTTCGGACCTCCTGCAACTCTTCAATGGGCTTCCATTCTTGGTTGATGGTTATAAGCTTTAAAAAAGAAACGGAGGAAAATAAAATTGTTTTGTTAGGATCTGTCTTTCATCCTCACATCCCCTTTAGGATTTGTCCACACTGCCCTTTGGGAAAAGCATAGCATTTGTAGTCAAAGAATCATCTCTTTCCATCTCTAAAATAGTAATATGGGCTGGTTTCTTTCACTCTGTCCCTCTCAAAAAGACTTTGGGTTCCTGAGTACTATAGGATCAGAGGGAAAGATCACATACCTTTACCCTACTTTCACTTAACAGGTTCTAGATTTTAAAATTTCCTATGGTTTTATGAGAACTATAAGCTCAAAACGTGTATCTGCTTCTTGTGTGTGGATGTATAATGCTCCAAGCAGAGAGGCAGGCACACAGTAGGCTCTTAAAATTTCCTCATTGTAATTACTCAGCGAAGGTACAGATGATCAAAGTTCCACAATAAGGGAAAAGGGACAGTGCCGTGGACAGTCCTTGACTTCCAAAGTACTCGCATTCAGAGATCCTCATTTATTCTCACAAGTTTTCTATTATTCCAGGAATGGGGAATTGTACGTAATTTTAAAGATCCTAAATGTCCTTCCCTAAGTCAAACTGTGTTATTTGAAAGTTTGTTTAAAAGATAAAACAACTTTCTTGACAGACCTAAGTAGTGTTCATCCCAACAGACTTTAGACTTTACTTGCAAAATATTTAAAATGCAAAAAATGTTTGCAATAGTCTTAAAATTAACTCATTTGAATCAGTGGATATTAGCTAGTTTTGCTTAAAGAGAATGTCGCTCCTGTTTTCTTTTTTTTTTTTTTTACCACAATGGCCCTTATATTTACTTTAGATAAATAACGGGTAAAATGAGATTTTGTTATGACAACAATATAAGTTAATATTTGAGTGCTTATTTATGGACCAGGCACTGTGCTAAAGGGCTCTCATTGATTTTATCTTCTTTAATCCTCTAAAGCTCTGAGATAGAGCCCTATTATTGAGCCCATTTTATAGGTTCTGAGAGCCTCAGAAGGCCAATTTGTCTAAAATTACCTGTGAATAGTGGAGCAAGGATTTGAACTAGATCTCTACAACTCCATAGCGCTCTCTTTAACATCACTCTAAATGGCACCCTGAAAGTGAAAGGGACTAAATCTATTTCTCTGACAAAGACGTTAAGGTTTGGGCTAAGTGTAAATCACATTTTAATTTTGCAATACCTTTCGAGGTACGGTAGGATCCACAGTTTCCCAAGGTTCTGGGTTTCTTTTTCGATCAATGCTAAAAGCAAAAGAAAGCTGATTAAATATTAAAGTAAGTGAAATTAAACCAACTCTAACACTGGATTTATAAATACACTAGGGACAGGCTCAGACTGCATACTTAGGCTCTCGTGGTTAATTGAAATTGATGGGAAATTCCTTTTAAAAGCTTCACAGTTTGGCTCAAACATTGAGAATCAATCCCTCTGCAGGGCAGGAGGTGTGTATTCCATTTATTGGGCTAGACTGAAGAATGTTCTCGTGAGCTGAAGAGCAGTGAAGGTGGAAGTACCAGGCTCAGAATGAGCAAATATGCTCTTGCCCAGGGTTTCTGGGAGGGGCAGAAGGGCTGGGCTTGAACTCTGTATGTGGTAAACTGCGGGGTGCTAGGCTTCTCTGCCAGATCCTAGCATTACTGCCCTTTCCAGCCCTGAACCCGGCCAAGATCAAGTCTCTCTCTTCCTCATATTCCAGAATATATGGCATTTTATCTTATATCCAGGGCTGAGATTAAGTTCATTGCAGACAACTGAATCTATTAACTCTACCACATTAGGAAACATCTTTCTAATAAACTGAAAATTTTAAATTTCATTAAAATGATGATTTAAGTTTGATGATGTATATCCCAAAAGGCCATTTAAGAACTTGACATTTCAAAACTTCAGTTAAAAAAAAAATTTATTCTGCTGCAGGAGAAGAGGACGACGGCCAAAGGATGAAGAGATATTTAGATACAAGGAACAGCCTGATTGTGTTAATATCATCATTTAATAGCCTTTTGATATCTAAATGCTTTCTACCCTGTCTCCAAGCTTACAATTTGACATTCTTATCCCGGGGGAAAAACAGGAAACTGATACGCATTTCATAAACTGAAGGTCAACGTAACACTGCTCAAAAACGTTTTTATAAATGATAAAAGCCTACTTACATCACATCGGTTTTCTTAAGAGAATAAAGAGCAAAAGACGAAGCTCCACCCGCTGCCAGTGTCGTGAAAACCACCAAAGGAATAAGCTAATAGAGAACAAAATATTCCTATGATTCAATGTCAAACACTTGAAATATAACAGAATAGCTATACATCAATTTTTAATGTCTTCAAAGTTTGCATCATCTGTTCATCTTTAAAAATTAATATTTTTAGTCAAGATTTTCAATTGCTTTAAAAACTTACTTCCTTCTTTTTCATCAGGAGTTGGAAAAAACCCATGATGACTTCAGTGTAGAACGTCAAATCTAGAAAATAAAAAAAAATCCATGATACTGATCAAAACTCAGCTACTAGGACCCAACCTGGTGAGCGCCGAAGCGGCCAACGTATCCCAAAGTCATCCTTGCGCAGCTCCCCAGCACCTTCGCCCAAGGGCGGCTCACCTTGGGGACCGGGCGGGGCGAGGCGGCGCGTGAGGACGATGCTAACGCCCAGAACTGAACCCGGACCTCGGTCTCCTCGCCTTATATACCAACCGCACCCGCTCCGGAAGGGCCGGCCAGAGCGTTCTGGTCACGCGGGGCCGCGCGAGGGGCGTGCGGGCCCTGACTCGCTTTCCCTGCCCGGCAACCACACGCCCCCTGCAGGGCTCCGTGCCCGCAGCCGCCGCGCAGCCGGCCGCGAGCGCCCCCTGCCGCCCGCCGCAGTGCTTACCTGCCGAGCCTGGGCTGGGCGTCGGCGCGCCTGCAAGAGGGTGGAACTGAGACTAAGGGGCGCTCTGACTGCCAAGGCCTGGTGAAAAACCAGCCCTTCTAAAAGGAGGCCCGGAAAAGGAGCCACAGAGCCGGGGATCCTATGGGAGGCTCCTGGGTGCAGGCAGGTAAACTAGAATTAGTCCAGTCACATTAAAAGTGATGTAGCGCACATATGGAGGTAATTAAAATTGTAAGTTCGTTTTGAAATAACTCCCACAGTGTCCTGATTTTTTCCCTTAAAAAAATCAAGGATGAGGGAGAAGAAAAAGAATCAGCTGGAGAGGTTTCCAGCAGAAGATCTCTGAGATGACCCGGTAGGTTGCTTCATCTTGAGATCCCCCATTTAGCTGGCTCCTAAAGTAGCAGCCTAGCCTCACACATAGCGTGCAAGTGTCTGCAGAACCACGGGAATAATAATTAAATCAGGGTTTCTGTGCCAGCGTACCAGAATCTTCTCGACATTTTTGCAAAGTATGTTTTTTAAGCTCAGAGATACTGCAGTCACATAGCCAGTAAGTGGCAGAGATGTGATCAGAACCCAGGTCTGTCTGGGAATAAACATCACTGTTCTTTTTTGCACCCCGCTCTTACTTACAATTAAGACAAGAGCGCAAGCCCAGTTATTTAAAAACGATTGTTTTAAAACTGAAGTTCAAACTATGAGTTAACGTTAAAAACGGAAACGTCTTAATGTTTTCTGAAGGGCTAGATCAAGCTATTTCGACCTCATCTTAGTTCTAGTCATGGGCTTTGCATTCAAACTGACCTGAGCTCAGAGCCCACCCCACCCCTTAGCACACTTTATTAGCAGACTGACTTCGAGGTAACTACTTAACCTTTATGAGACAGTTTATTCATCAGTAAAATGGGGACAAACCTACTCAGAAGTTGGGAGAAATGTTAGAATGTGTGAAAAGCATGTAGCATTCTGCCTTGCCTGTAGTAGGCATTCAATAAATAGTAATTATTTTTTGCAAAGATTTGTTTTCTATAAAGCAGATCATAAATATAACTTCTCAGTTACTCTGACAAGGATTTTTGTTGTGTAACCCAAGCTGTAAGTGGAGATGTTTGTCAATTACTGCAAAGAAAATTCAACATTTTCTGTGGTTCATATTGAATAGAATCAGAAAAGCGTTTTAATGCTCCTTCTGCAGAATTTCTAAGCTACTTTTGTCAGATTATAAAAAAAAAAGCCTCATTTTGTTACTTAAAGACAAATTTTTCTAGAGTAGAAAGAAGAGAAAAAGGAAATCTTACAGGAATATATCATGGCCCACAAATTAAAATTAAAACGTGTAGCTCTTGCCTAGCACTGACCTTAAACTCAGAGCCCTGCTTTGCCAATGTTGTTTCTTTTCAAAATACAGTTTTGTAGTAGTTTAGGTGTTATTCTGGGAATGAGGCATGTTAAGAAGATAATAAAAACACAATTCCCTTACATAACATTTCTTACAATTTAGTGCCCATGATCTGGTGCCAAAGACAGATGATTAACCCTGGCTGAAGGGGGTAGATCTGAGAAATCTTACCAGAGGTGAGTGTATTTATTTGAACATACAAATAGAGAAAACAAATGTAAAAGGACATTTTGGGGGCAATTAGGGAAAATTAAATACAGATCAGATATGAAATAGTATTAAAGGAGTATTGTTGATTTTTGAGGTGTAATAATGGTATTATGTTTATGGTTTTTTAAAAACTTTTTAAAAGAGATTATATATGAAGATAATTAAGGAAGAAATATGATGTCTGGGATTTACTTTAAAATACTTTTAAAAAATGAAGCAAGTTTAGCAAAATATTAATTATTCAATCTTGGTGATAGATATGTGGGAGTTTGTTATTTTATTAAATGTGTTTGAAAATATTCAGAAAAAACATTTTTTAAATTTATAAATTGTATATAGTGTTAAAAAAATTCAGTGGAGTCGATTTGAAGATCTAATTAGCTTTATTAAACAGTTCATGAATTAGAAGGGCACTCTGAGGGGTAGTGCAAACAGGCTTTTATAGGCAGGAGGGTGGGACAAGAAGGCATCAGCAAAAGAAAATGATTGTTTCAAGTCTGGACTTGTTTGGGGAGGTTGAGGGGAAGAAACCACAAGGATCTTTATCATGCAGAGTATCTCACTAGTGTTGATCAGGAAATTTCAGGTTTTCTGTTTTAAAGGCCACAAGGAGTAGGGGAGGCAAAGCTTAATGTTAGAGTGCAAGCTTAGCATGCACAAGGTCACAGGTTCAAGCCCCAGCACCTCCATTAAAATAAATAAATTTAATTACCTGCTTCCCAACTAAATAAAAATAAAAGGAGTTGTCAATGCTAATAAATAAATAAATAAAGGCCACAATGAGAATTAGGTCCAGAAAGCCACTCTCCTCTCCTCTCTTGGTTAAGCCCAGTTTTATGGAGCTTGTGGGAGATGCAAGGTCAATATAGTTTGGTCTTTTCCAGGATGATTAGCAGGCACAGTTCCCAGCCTTCAAGTCCTGGCAGCCTCCAAAGTAACCCACTCAGGATACTTACCAGCATTACCTGCTGTGGCTGCTCCAAAGCCCCAAATCCCATGGTAGAGCTTCCCCTCCCTACCCCAATTGCCAGAAACTTCTAGAACCTTCTCTAGCTGCTGCAGCCTAGGCTTACAGGGGCATGGAGCCATGGCTACGTGGTTCCCAATCTAGGAATTTAAGAAAATATTAATTAAATATTTTTTGTTGGAATTCTTTCTGCCCATCCTTCAGCAGCTGCCTAGTTTTCAGGTTTCACAAATACTGGATTTGCTAAATTTTGGATGGTCTTGGCGTGTACCATATTGTTTAATGCTGTAATGTGGCTCAGAAAGGAGTTTGAGCTCAATGTATAGGGGAAAGCTGTTCACTCATCCCAGGTACTTAGAAGCGTAAGTGTTTTCTCACCAATTAAGAACACGCACGGCTTTTGGAAGCTGCCCAGAGTCATCCTCCCATCACATTGAAACTGAGTCAAAGAAATCTTTGCTTTGATCTCATCATTAATTGAGTTATTCAATGAGAGAAGACAGTGGTTTTTGTCCTCAGGGAGCTTCCAAAATTCTATTGAGAGGTTATAGCCACAATTTAAAGCCATTTTCAAACTAGGAGTTTGGGATTTGCAGATAAAAACAAAGAGATTTTCAAATCAAAACTCAGCCTCTAACCAAAGTGTGGGTACTAAATTTCCAGGGTGACCACTAAGAACTTTTTCTAGGAAGAAACAAGGGACCCACAGCTAGAGTCTCAGTGAAAGGGTCCAGGCCAGAGTGCTTCAGGCGTAGGAGATGGCAAAGGCTTAATGGCCGCCTTGTCCTGGAAGAGCAAAAACTGACAGAGAAGAATGGAAATATTCAGAATTCCAATAAAGTTTCTAGGTATTTTCCCTACTACTCAAAAGCAGGAGTCAGTTTGCTGGAATAATTTTAATTGCATTATATTTTGTACCTATAAATAAGAGAGGTCTTTTCCTTAATTATCCCAAATAGTGAGGTTTTGCTTCATAATAGTCCTGGCTCCAGTCAGAAATAGGAAATTTTCCAACAACTGCTTAACATTTATGACTTTGTATGGTTTATGCACCAAGCTCTGACTGCACCTAAGCAACTTCTGAAGCTTGTCTCCTTGTGCTTAATTCACTGCATGATTTGTCTGAGGTCCGTGCTCCCAGCACCCTTTCAGCACTGAGTCTGTGTCCTTCCCTTACGCTCCAGCACCTTGAATGGCACCTTGTGGAAGAAGGGCTCAGTAAGATGTTCAGCGGATAGTGTTCGGTGAGAAAAACGAGAGTTACATAAGACCACGCCTTCTGGTTTTAAAAAAATTATCTATACATGTGTAAGGGACCTAAAGATTAAACATCCAAGTGTTTTCTTCATGTTTATCTATATTTTCTAGCATTACTACTTTTTTAATAAAGGAAAATAAGAATTTATATATATCTATCTTCTTAAAAATACTTACAATTAGAAAAGGAAAACTATCAGCTATACAGTGGAGAAAACGGACAATATCAAGTGATCAAAATTAACATCACCAGTAATGTGCAGATGTCACGTGCCGCCAGCCGTGGTCTGAGGACGTGGCAGCACACACTCAGTGCTCCAGTGGGGATGCATGATGCGACTCCGTCGTGAGGCACAGCAGACAAACACACATCAGGGACCAACTGCTCTATACGATAGTCTGTACTCTTAAAGGTGTCACAGTCAGGATGGACTGAGGAACTGTTTCAGATGAAGAGGCTAAAGGGACACACACCTAAATGGAATGTATGCTCCTAGACCGAATCTTGTAATGGGAAAACAGCTACTGCTGGGACAGCGGGTGAAATTCACTGTCAGTAGATTAAAATGTTATCAATTTCTTGAATTTGATAACTGTGCTGTGGTCACATAAAATACCCTCATTTATAAGTAATGTACACTGAAGTATTAAAGGGATGAAGGGGCGTGATGTGTAAAATCTATTCTTAAATAGTTCAGAAAAATACTGTCAGGGGTGGGGTGGGGGGAAGGGGAGGGGGAGGGAAACAAATGTGGGAAAATGTTAAATATTGGTGAATCTGGGGTAAGAGTATGTAAGAGTTCTTTGTACTATTCTTTTAGCTTTTCTGTAAGTATGAAAGCGTATCAGGAGCAAGTTTTTTTTATTTATAGGAAATACATGGAGTGTGAATATGTAAACTATAGTGTAAGTTCACATTTCAATTAATCCTTTGGTAATTATGTAAAATAATTTTTAAATATCTTCTAAGGTAGAAAATTCTGGTTTCTGAAATAAGTTTCTATATAAAGTCAAATCCTTGTGACTTAAGGATGGTTTTACAGTCTCCAGTGATTTTAGAAAATGCTCTTGTCTCACTGTGGTTGCTTCTAGTCCATTTTCTTGCAGAGCCAGCAAGGCAGCCTACAAGACACAAACGATAGGAAACAATAAATACGCTTCATTGTTGTTTTACGATATGTGGTAATACTTTAAAATCTGAACACAAAAATCTCAGTCTCACTTCATAGAATTTCAATATTCATGACAGTAAAAACACTAAGCTAGAAAGTTAAAGTGATTAAAAGTCCTCTTACTAGACCATCTTTTCTTCTACATTAAATTCTAGCCTGAAATGGGGGGAAAAAAGCAAACTGCAGAATAATATATACATTATGAACACAAATATTTTAAAGATGAGAGACTATCTTCCTGACCTCAGAGTAGGAGTTTTTAAACAGGACACAGCGCTGATCATAAAGGAATAGATCAAACACGTACTCTACGACCCAGCATTTCACTTGTAGGTACGTATGTATATGAAATAGGAACACACACTCATATACCAATAGACACGTACAAGCCTGTTCATAGCAGCGTCAAAAAAGTAGTAACAAAAATGTTCAAAGATAAAATGTGTATATAAATGTAGTATATTCATATACTAGAATATCATAAGCGACAGAAATGAATAAACTACCGCTACACACAAAACCACGGATGAACATCGCAAACACAGTTTTGACTTAGAGCAGCAGACAGGAAAGCGTAAGTGCAAAAGCAGGCAGAACGAGTCTGCGGCGCTGGAAGTCAGGAGCGTGCTTCCCTCTGGGGACAGAGCGGGAAGGGCCAGAGAAAGCTTCTGGAGTGTTGACAACATTCCTTCTTGATCCAAGTGGTGGTTATACAAGTGTGTTCACTTTATGTTAATTCAATCAACTGTGTGCTTCTGTTCCGTGCATGTTTCTGACTGTTACGTCTAATACAAGTTTACTGAAAGGGAAAAACCTACAATGGTTTTTTTTGCCCACAAAAAAAGTCTAAATGCCTCAGAGTGACTTACGAGGACCTGTGTGATCTGGCCATTGTCCACCTCTTCAATAATGTCATTTCTTACCACAGCTGACTGCACATTTGATTCCCTCTGCCTCAAACACTCCCCTTTTCTGCCTTAGTCTGGCTAACTCCCTCAACATCCTTCCAATTTCAACTTAAACACACCCTCTCTCAGAAAGCCTTCTCTGACGCCCTCAAGTCTGGACTGGTGTCCTTCCTAGGTGCCCTTCAGCACCCTAAACTTCCCTGACTCACTATGTACTTCCAATTCAGTAGAAGCTCTCCGCACCCCGCCCCCGCCATCAACCTATAAGCCCCGTCAGGGGAGGAGCAGCCCAGGCCTGTTTCACCTTACACAGCGCTGCCTTTCAGTAAATACTGCCAACTGAATAAATGAAGAAATGTTTTGGACTATAGGTTGCTTCACTAATTAACTTACTTCTTTGCAGAGGTTTCCAAGATCAGCTCCAGAGAAAAAACAGGTTCCTGCTGCTAGCTTTTCTAAGGAAACATCAGGCCCCACTGGCATGTTTTTTGTACAGATTTTCAAAATAGAAAGCCTGCCCTGGAACAAAAATAAAAAATAATGTTTATAAGCTTATAACATTCATGTTTGACACAGGGCTTTATTAAAATATTTCAAGTTGGAGTTTGTTATCATATTACAGAGAAAGTATAAATATTTAAGAATCAGACAATAAGAACAACTTCTTCTGAAGAAGAAAGAATAATCCGTCAGTGGCTCATACAACAATGGTAAAAACAGTGACATCACGACAAACTTTTAATGTTTTTTAAATCAATTTTTAAAATAACCAACCATAATCTCTTTAAGAGTCTTAAAGAATCTCTCTTTGGGGCACAAACAGTGCCTCAGACATGATTTAAAAGCAAATGCATAAATTTTCAGACACAATTTAAAAACATAATAGGGGGAGGGTATAGCTCAGTGGTAAAGCGCATGCTCAGCATGCACAAGGTCCTGGGTTCAATCCCCAGTACCTCCACTAAAGATAAACAAACAAACAAACAAACCTAATGACTACTCCCCCCAAAAAAATTATAAACAGAAAAAGGTGAAAAAATTAAAAAATATATATATATAATAAGTTTTTTTTTCATCCCTTCAAAATTTGATAAAAGCCCAAGGAAGGAAAAAAATTCCTTTTCTGTGTCTTTCACTCTCTGCTATGGCTCTGGATGTTAAGGGCAAAGGATTTACTGATTCTTTGGTTGTGGATACATTGTATAACCTCTGTAACCTCAGATTTCTCCACTGTAAAATAAGGACTCTGATCCAGATAATCTCCAAAACCCTTTTAACCCCTTTTAACACTTGAGGATTCCTCCTTTCTAGTTGCAAAATAATGCTGAGTAAACTCAACAAACTCAGTATCTTGAGTCTTCCACAAAACTGAAGTTACTACCTAACTTTTAGGCTTATGTTTCTCTGAAAAAAGGGCCAGAGTACCCAGCAAAAGCAGAGGAAAATGATGATTTATGACGGGCTACCAGGCAAGGGAAAATGCAGAATCCAATATAAGACACCCACCACACTACACACTACATCCAGCGGGGCATTCAATTCTGCCAGCTTCTTAGTGCTCAGTGTGCACAATGATTACCTTTTCATCTGGAGGTGGAATATAAATGATCTTATCCAATCTTCCAGGCCGCAACAAGGCATCATCTAACACATTAGGTCTATTTGTTGCTGCAACAATCATGACATTGCTATTAAAAACTTCTTGAAACTCTAGCTGAGGGAAAATATACAACACAAAGCAAAGTCAATAAATTGTTAATTATTAAATGTATTTTTTTAAATTACAAATCAGAAGGGGAAGGTATAGCTCAGTGGTAGAGCACATGCTTAGCATGCACGAGGTCCAATCCCCAGTACCTCCACTAAATAAATAAATCTAATTACCCCCCCAAAATAAATTAATTAAAAGTTAATCAATTAATTAAATTACAAATCAGAAGACCCATTTTTAAACAGGGGAATTTTTTTCTTGGGACTAGAATGCTTACACTTCCTATCCAGACCACGTTCTCAATATCAAGGTACCCCACAAACAAATGATTAAACAAAGAGCTACTTTGTGCACAGGGTGAAGGGAGTGACCAATCCTGATGGGCATCTCTCAATGAGAGAACCTTACATCACAGCAGAGAACATCCATCAGGTGACCTGAATGCACCTGAGCCCCAGTGAATGATTACAATTTAACTGGATGACTTGAAAAGACAGAAGCATATGACTAACACATGTATGACTATGAAAAGTCTTGGTTCTTATGTTCTTGAAGAGGGAGATTTATTTAACTTTGTTTTTTCCTTTCCAGAGGCAGAAATATGACAATTAACATAGACTGCAGGTATGTAAATCCAGGATGAAAATAAATATCTAAAAGCAGGCAGGGCAAGGCCTTACACATGCTAAGCATTCCAAATTGTTGAACTGAATAATCAGAGCAGTTCTCCAGTAATGTGATCTCTCAAAGCAATGAGTTCCTGTATCTGCAAGTATTTTAGCAGAGGCTGGGTAAACACCTGTCAGATACTGTAGAAGGAATTCCTGCATCACAAGGAGATTTGATTAGAAAACCTCACGGGTCCCCTCAAATTTCGGTGGTATATGTTCCCAAGGAGCTGTTAAGACTCTCTATTCATGGAACAATTTTAAAAATGGGAAACAAGAAAACAGCAAAAGAAAAAAAAAATCTGTCAGGGATTATTTAAGGATACCAGATTCAATCTGGAGAAGACTCAGAAAGGAGGAGGAGGATTTCTAAAGGTCACTTTAACTTCATTATGAGTAAGGAAACCCATTCCTCAAGAAAATGAAATTTTCAATTACTAAGATTATTGGAAATAATAATGTTTTGTTTCATTTCACATTCAAAAAGTTAGAAATGGATAAAACACTGGTTTTCCAGGATACAGAAATAAGAAACTCCCTTTTCTATTAGCAATATGTAAAGTAATGTTTCTAATCTTAGGAAAAAATTCACATTCGTGTATGTCTAAGGTACTTTATTATAAAATCTGCCTCACCTTTCCCAGCTAAGTCACAAATTTTACCAGCTCCAAAGAGTCAAGCTGAAACTACATAACTCTTTCTACGAGATGAACCCAGCACAGGAGAAGCTAGTGTAGACGCTTTCTATGTAATGTTGGCCTGGATTTTTGGTGTATTCTGGCTAATAAATACCTCTTCATTTTTTTCCAGCTCCTTGTATTTACCATGTTGATCTGAATTACCTCCTCTTCTCTCTATAGTCTTCAGTCCAACCCCATCTAATTCATTTAGGAGAACAGAAAGAACACGCTCTTGAACATTACATCCTGTTCTGCCGACTGATCGAGAACCCAAGATTGAATCAATTTCATCCAAAAACACAATTGCTGGAGTATTTGCTCTTGCTTGTCGAAATACCTTTTGTTAGGAAAATGAAAATATTAAAAAGCTACACGTCATGCCTTATTCATATGAATGTATGTTTTCTGCATTACTATTTATAATTTTTAAAATACAAAAAGAGATTCTAAATGTCTAAGAACTGTGGAATGAATAAATAAAACAAGAAACAGCACATTATTTAGGTGTTAAAAATCATAAATTCAAAGGATATTTAATATTATGGAATTTTAGAAGTGTTATTAAGTTAAAAAAAATCACAAAATACAGATATTAATATATCTATATTTATGCCCAAGGAAACAGAAAGACCAAGGAAATTCACCAAAATGTTAACAGAAGGTAGAGGAATTATGGAGGATTTCCTCTTTACACTTTTCCATAATTTCTAAATTTTCTACACACAAATAGGTATAATTTTTCTAATAGGGAAAAAAAGCGTTTTGTTTTGTTTTTAAATACGGTTTATCCTTAAGGTATGAAATAAAAATTCAAAAGCAAACTTAACTACTGTGGGGAAAAATAAACAAACCTGAGACAAGATTTTTTCTGAATCTCCAACAAAAGATGAAAAGAGATCAGCTCCGCTCACTGAAACAAAAGAGCAGTGACAGCTGGTGGCCAGGGCCCTGACCAGGGTGGTTTTCGCACAGCCAGGGGGACCATATAGGAGAACCCCCTTTGGTTGTGTCAGGCCCATCCTAACAAACTGCTGGGGGAATTTCAGAGGCCATTCAATGCTCTGTAAGTACACAAAAAGAGACAGTTCTTTTAGTATAATGATGAAACATCAAGTAAGTCAGTAAATTCATTCATTCATTTATTCATTCATTCAGCAATTCTCAGGTGCCTGCCGTGAGCTGGAAACACGCCTCATTCTCCACACGGCAGCCAGTGATCTTGTAACCTAAGTCAGGTCACATCATTTTCCGCTTAAAATCTTTCAATGACTTCTCGTCAGACTTAGAATAAAATCAAAATCCAATTCCTACCTTACCAATGCTAACAAGCCTCACATAACATGACTATCGCCCAAACACCCCCAGTTTGTCCCCATGTCAGAGCCTTTACCTGCCATTCTCTCTCTGCCTGAACGCTCCTTTAAGACCTCTGTGTGCTATCCCTCATCATTCAGGTGTCCACTCGAATGTCACCTCCTTGGAGAGGTCTTCCCTAACCACTGTGGTTAAAGCAGACGTTCCCCTGCCAGGCATCCTACACTACACTCATTTTGACTTTTGGAGCACTGATTCATTTGTTATCTGAAATTATTCTTTTCCATGTTGAGCTTGTCATTCTGCTCCTGCTAGAATGTAAGCAGATCTCCAGCACCTACAATGACATCTTCACAAAGTAGGCACCCAATACACGTTAACTGAATAGTAAACAAATTCTCACTACCTTTTAGGTAGGTGTTTTATTACACAGATGCAGAAACTCAGGCTTAAGAAGTTAAGTAACTTGCCCAGGTCTTATTACCTTATGGCTAGTGATGCCGCAGAACTAAGACTGACCCCAGACAGTGCAGATCAAAGAACACAAGCTCTTAACTATTGATGCTTCTACAAAAAAGGACAGGCGAGACCCCACACCTCGGGAACTCATATTTTAGTTCGGGAGATAGGCCTGTGAACTAACCAGGCCAGAGAAGGGCTCTCCACAGACAGGGAGCAATGCATACAGACACAGGAGACCGCGCGACTCATCCCCAGCAGTAAGTGGGACAGAGGGGAGGATGGGGAGACAAGGAGCAAAGGCACGGAAGTAGGAGGTGGCTCACAACGGCCTTGAAAGATTCTATCAACACTGAGGAAGGAGAATGGACTAGAAGGAAATAAAATTAGAGGTAGAGAGACCAATGAGAAGTCTCTTGCAATGACCGAGACTATAAGGCTGATGTGTCACAGACAGTGGAGATGGTGTGGAAGGGATAGATTTGAAACATAAAATGTAATTGCATTTTATACAGGGGAGATTCAGAGGGGAAGAGACGTGATGTATGCCATGAGCCCACGCGTGTAGGAGACAAGTTTCTGACTTAGGGGAGGGGTGGCTGGCAGTATTCACTGAGGCAGGGGAGCCAGTGTAGAGGTGGAGTTCATTCACTGGACTTTGGACATGCTGAGTTTGAGATCCCTGGAAGTCATCTAGGAGGCAGGCGGCTAAGTACTTCTGATGATCAGAAGAATTATCTGAGCTGGATATAGAATTTTGGGTTAACAGTTTCAGGGGAAAGCTGAAGACTGGGACATTAAGGAGATCAAAGACTGACTCAGAAAATGCAAAAAGAGGACTCTCAGGAGCTTGGAGAACTAACATTTAAGGTAGGGAAGAGGAGTGCTCAGTAAAATAGGAAAGCTTAATCTTTTTAAGAAACATTAGAATGTTTCTAATAGGAAGGTGTAGCTAACCCCTCTCCTGTATATTGTGAAGATTAAATGAGACAAAGCACATAAAAAATTAGGGCATCTTATAAATGTGTTTATCCATGGACACAGAGTTCACTGTAGATACAGCTCTTAGTTAAAACATATAAATTATCTTGTGTATGTGTGGTTAGAGAAACCTACCTCCTTATGGCAGGATCACCCGAAGGTGAATTGGCAAAATCAATTTCTGAAACTGCAATGCAGGTAAGATGTGGTGAGCTGTGTCCCTGTCCTTCAATGTGCGCTGTGAGAATCAGGATCAAGCGGCCATCAAGGCCATATTGTTTATTATAATTTTGTGCTTTTACCAGTCCCAGGGCAAATTCAGGCCTATGAACTAAGAACATGAATTTGTATAGTCCATGAACTAAGAATCATTTTTTACATTTTTAAATGCTCAAAAAAAAAAGAACAGTATTCTGTGACATGTGAAAATTATGACTTGTGTCCATAAATAAACTTTCATCAGAATACAAATACTCATTACATATTGAGTGCTTGCAACATAGACCACAAGTCTAAAGTATTTACTCCCTGGCCTTCTGCAGAAAAAGTCTTCTGACCTCTGTTCTAAATTATAAACTCTTTACAGCAAAAAGCAAACAAGAGGGGGATATAGCTCAGCTGGTAGAGCACCTGCTCAGCATGCATAAGGTCCTGGTGCAATCCCCAGTACCTCCTCTAATAAATAAACAAATAAGTAAACCAAATTACCTCCCCCTCCAAAGAAAAAAATTAAGGAGATGGTCTGACTTCTCCCTTTCCAAAAAGCAAATAAGAAGAGGGTGAGGCAGGAAAGCACGAAAAATGGTATTTCATGTCTACAGAGTCCCGTCAGACAAGGAATGAAAAGCAACCCTTGGACCTGGAAGTTAGGATCGCACTAGTGATGACTGCAAGAAGTTTCAGTGTACCTTGTTTTCACCATAAGTGCATTACACCTAAACTGTCATATTCTACTGGCTTAAGCAGATTCTCTGTCTCACCTGTTTTAACTTCAGTTTTACATCTTCAAGGCCACCAATCTGCTCCCAGTCGACAGGCTTGATGTCCGTCAGTCCAATGACACTTCGGAATGATGAGGGTTGGATCTTTTTAAAAGCTTCAAGGAAGTCTGTTTCATCAATCATCGGATTGTCCTGGTTCTGAAGAAATCCACCCCAAAAAGCAAAATCAAACCAAAAAATCAGGTGGGCATTTTCTGTGGTACACAAACACAATTACTTTTTATGTTAAATCCTCTTCTGAATTTATACATCTATTCTGTTATCCTTATAAAGAAATGTATATAGATGGTACAAAAAACTTAATGTCTCCCCCTCAACTCCCACCAATATTAATCCCCAGAGACTGTCAAGTTTCCTTTTTATTCTTCCAGTATGTCTTATGATGTAAGTATATCCTTTCAAATAGAGACACAAATGGGACCATACTGTACATATTAATTTGTATTTTTCATTTATCTTAGAAATCTTTTAATGTCAATTAATACAGTTCTACCTCACTTTTTTAATAATTGCATAATACACTATTGTATGAGTATTTTAATCCTTCTGTTGAACAAAGGTTGTTTCCAGTCTTTTGTTATTAAAAATAAAGCTGCGACTAAAAGTCCTTGTGCATATGTTCAAGTATTTTATATAATAACTTCCTCAAAGTAGAATTACTATGCTTAAGCGTACGTACACTTACAATTTTCACAGCTACTACTAAACTGTCCTCAAAGCTGCACCAATATGAAGCTGTTCTCTCCACACCTCTCCTGACGCTGGACATTACCAAGCTTTAAATTTCTGCCAGTGTGACAGAGAAATGGTACTATTGTGTTAATTAAATTTCTTCAATCAAGAGTGAGGTAGAGGGAATAATGGAATTAGAAAATCAGTTTGGTGGGGGGAGGGTATAGCTCAGCGGCAGAATACGTGCTTAGCATGCATGAGGTCCTGGGTTCAATCCCCAGTACCTCCATTAAAAAAATTAATTAAACAAATAGACAAACAAACCCAATTACTGCTCTGACACACACACACACACACACACACACACACAAATTTTTTAAACAAAATCAGTTTTGCAGCCACCACAGTAAAGGCTGTTTTGGGGCAAGAATCATCAATGGATGCTAATCGAGGGGAGGGAAAGCTTGATGAGAAACAGGATATTAGCATTGTCTCAAAGGGTCTCCTCACAGATTTCTTACTAGTCGTAAAGGGAAAGACAGCAGCTATGAAGTAGATAAACTGGACACAACCTTGGATGGCTGATCACATCAATCACCCATTGGGGCACCACCAATGAGGGGCAGGTGGACATCAAGTGCCCCCACATGTGACATCCTAAGAAGGACACACTATCACTTACGCGGTAGTCCCAACAGGCATGGACAGCCAGCCTGTACCTGACTATGAAGAAACAGACAAACCCAAACTGAAAGACGTTCTATGAAATCACTGAGCTACAGCCTTAAAAAATTGTCAATGTCAAATGCCTCACACACATAGAAATTGCTATGGAATTGTTCAAGATTGAAAGAAAATAAAACTGTGTTAATACATTATCCTGGACTAGATCCTGCACTGGAGGAAGAACATGCCAAAAAGACTGAGGCAGTTACCAAAATCAGAATATGGACTGTAGCTCTGACCACATTTTGATCAATGTTAAATTCCCTGAATATAATGATTATACATATAATGGTCATGTACGGGAACATGATTATTCTTAGGAAATGAACATTAAAAATACTAAGGCGTAACAGGTTATGACAGATGCAACCCATTCTCAAATGATTCACAAGAACCAATGTGTATACATCCACAGTTGACCCCTGAACAACACGGGGTTAATCCTCTGACTCAGAGTTGACCCCCATTCCTCTGCATCTGCATGGATTCAACCAATCGCAGACCATGTAGTACTTGTGTATTTATTACTGAAAAATAGCCATGGATATGTGGACTGGCACAGTTCAGGGCTGTGTTGTTCAAGGGTCAACTAACTACACAGAGAAAGAGAAAGAGAGAGAGAAGGAGAGAAAAGAGAGAATGATTGACACATTGTAAACTGACTATATTTCAATTTAAAAAAAGAAAAGAAGAGAACGATAAAGCTAATTTGGCAGAATGTTAAAAGGCAGTGAATTTGGATAAACGATTTAGCCGAAGTTATCTCACAACTCTCCCTGAAGTTCTAATTACTTTAAAATAATAAGTTTTTAAAAAGAAAAAGAACTGAAAAAGACTAATTTTTAAACAAAATAAAGCTGAGGATTTTTCATGTTCATCAGCCATTTGTAACCTTTTGACAGTCAACTGCCAGTTCATATCTGTTACCCACTTTCTCTTGCGTTGTTGGTCTTTTCTTACTGCTCTGTGAGAGTTCTTTCTATATCAAGGAAACTAGTCTTTTTGTCATGGGCTGAAAGTATTTTTTCCAGTCTGTCTCATGTCTTGTGTTTGCCGATAGTATTATTTTGTCATTCCAAAATGGTCAAATTAATAAATCATTTTCTTTTTGGCTATTAGGTTTTATGTTATACATCAAAGGCCATCTTCCCTTTAAGACTATGTTTTGGAGAATCCATCTTGCAGTTTCCTTCATCATTCCAGCGTAGCAGAACTTTTATGACAGTTAAAAACTTCTATTTCTATTTGTAGTATCTGTATTAAATTTAAGCATCTGCGCTCTTACATCAAATTCTGAACACTTAGTTGTCTCTAAATTCCCACTTTTCAATAACAGACTATTTTATCTCATTTATATAAAATTAAATAAGTGAATTTGTATATATAGAGCCATTTTGAATAGCATTCCTTTAAAAATGTTAATAGTTTTAATCCCTGGGAGGTGAGATTTCAGACAGTATTTACTTTCTTTGTAATTTTTTAATCTTCTTTAATTTCTCACAAAGAACATTATTAAATAATTCCTTAAAATAGCCTCTTCCCCCTTAGCTAGCAGTATTAGATACTGGGTAACTGAATACTAATTAATTCTTAGGTAATACCAACTGATACTTGAAAATCCCATTTATACTTCAAGATCACTTGTATGTACATTATTTCACTTTACTTTCATGATCCTTTCAAGAAGGTAAAATTCTTTCCCCTCTATGTGTATGTGTTAAACCATATTTCTTTTTCTTCTTTTTATTTACAGTGTTGTGTTAGTTTCTGGTATACAGCATAGGGAGTCAGTCATATACACATACATTCATTTTCATTATAGGTTATTACAAGGTATTGAATATAGTTCCCTGTGCTACACCATAGGTATTTGTTGTTCATTAAACTATATTTCTAATCCTTTAATGGGAATACTTGGCAAAAAGTTGAACAAACTTGAATGTGTCCCTTGTCTTCCCTGGCACAGAGGTGGCAGCAGCCCCTCAGCTGCCTGCAAAGGGAAAGAAGAAAAAGATGGAGCCAGTACCTTCCCAGATGCCTCTGTCCCTTCTTCCTTTTTGCCTTTCTTTCTTCCACTTCCCCTGGTTGTTTATGAACTCAGCCATCACCTGTGGGAACTATGCTGGGCAGGCCCCTCCTGAAGTAGCATTGGGCTACTAGGACGGCTGCAGCTGGCTGGTCCACCTAAGCCAAGGTGCTTAAGGTCAAACCTGGAACTTCAAAGCAGAGGGAATGCTAAATGTAAACCTCCTTTCCCACACCTGGTACTCTTGTCCTCCTCTCAAGAGGCATATATGCTCACATCTTTACACATGGGACTTGTCATTAAGTCTTCAAGAAGTTTTGGTTCTAAATCCAAAAGATGAAGACTTACAAGTTCACATAACTCCTTCCCCACCTCCACTGTCAGAGCAAAAATAATGGAAAAGGCAATGAGGAAGGATATAAGTTACCTAAACAAAAAGGTTTTCAAAATGTAGAATGCTAAATCATCTTCTTATAGTTTAAACCAACTCAAAATTGGGTTTTAAAAATTACAAGATCAAAGGACAATTTTAATGTTATAAAAGAGATTTAAAAAGTCCCAGAATCCTCAGCATGCTGAAATTAATTTTTTTCTGAATGGGTTTAGGGATTCAGGATAACATATTACATACAGAGTGAACAGATTTTCCAATCCATAGTGTTGAAAACTATTCAAGCTAATATCCTAACTATTTTTAAGAAAGGCAGCCACGAAATAAAAGATTTGTATGTCACAGGTGAATTTAATACAATTCCAAGTACCCAATCTTCTGGGTCAGAAACGGTTATTTCCCCCACCAGATGCTTAATAATAACAAAGGGAAAAATAGTATTTTGACAATGGAGAAATCTCAGAGATATCACCTTAACAAGAAATCAAAGTTAATTTCACCAGTAATAGGACAAAGAGATATCATTTGCCATTCAACAGATGCAATGAGAAAAACACAGCATCATTTCTGTGATATTCCTACCAAAAATGCAAAAGCTGAATCAAATCATCAGAGAAACATCAATCAGTTGCAAACTGAGGATTATTCTGTAGAATAACTGACTTGTACTCTTCAAAAATTGTCAGAAAAAAAAAATGGCAGAAAGATGGAAGAATGTTTCTAGATAAAGAAGATTAAGAAACCAAGAAAACTAAATGCAATGTGTAATCTTGGATTAAAAAATAATTTTTTCTTTTTCCTTTTTAAATTTTTGTTACAAAGGAAATCAGTGGGACAAATGGTGAGATTTGAATAAGGTCTATATAGATTAGATAAAAGTACTGTGTCAGTGTTAATTTCCTCATCTTGATAACTGTACTGTGGTTAAAGTCCTTGTGTTTTAGGAAATATACACTTAAATTTTCAAAGCTGAGGGGGCATCATGGCTGCAGTATAGTCTCAAATACTTCAAAAACACTTATATATATATATATAAACATACATACACATGAAGAGTATGATAAAGCAAATGTGATAAAATGTTACATTTGAAGAATCTGGCTGAAGGATATACAAAAATTCTCTGTACTGTTTTCGCAACTTTTCTCTAAGTCTGAAATAGATTCAAAATAAAACAATTAAAAATTAAAAAGAAGTATGTTTGCTTCTTCTGGGCCACACTGTCTTCTTCCTGGCTGCTCTGGCCTTCAGCATTAGGGAGGTTCAGTGAGAGTGGGGAAAATGCCCTTGGCAGATCCTGGAGAACACAGCCCTCGGTCCCTACATTCAGTCATACACTATTTATATGGAGTTTAGACGTAAAAATATATGTGAGAATCAGCTGTCGAAGATATCAAAAGCTTCAATAAAATGTACTTACCACTTTTTTTTAATCCCCAAATTAACTCATTACATTAATAACAGGGTTAACATAGGTCATAAATCAATACCTTCTCACTATGAAGCAGAGCGTGCATGGCAGCTTCCCTACAGAGTGCGGTCAGATCTGCACCAACATAGCCAACTGTCATTTCTGCAAGGAGGCTCAAATCGACTTGACTGGAGATGGGCATCTTTGAGGTAATCACTTGTAGAATTGCATTTCTTTGTCTAAGTGTGGGAGTCCCAATGACAACCTACATGCAAAGTAAGAAAAGAAAAACTTTACTGCTCAAAAGATTATTTTTTATCCTCATAAAAATGTGTAATAATTTAGTTCACAAACCTGGAACTCTTACTATGTACTTTTAGGCATATCTTAAATTCGGAATATCTGAAAATCCTTATTTTCCGGTAAAACTGGCTAGAAAGTTGTACAATTAAAATTATATGTTATTTAGTAAGTTTTTATTTGTTATTTTTGAGAACCTACCAAGTTCTGGGAGCCAGGGATACAACAGTAAACCAGATAGTCTAGGTCCCTGCCTTATGGAACTTATTCAGGAGACAGGTCCTAGATGATGCAAGGAAGAAATCCACTCAAGTTCTAAACAGATTACGCTAAAGTGTGCAATTACCTGTCTCTTTAGAATCCTATCACAAAGTTCAAACATCACTTAAATAACCACTATTCAAACTATTTAATAGAAATCAAAAATCAATTTAGGACTGAAATTCATAAAATAAGACAGCTTTAAACACTCAACCTTCCTGGCAACTCATGGAGCAATCGTGGGATAGGATGCTGGCGTCCAGACAAGGAATGAATAAATCTGTAAAAGTTAGTATCTGCTCTGATTTAGTTCTTTCCTGCCTTCTCCCTTATTTCAACAAGTTTGTTTCCTGAGGCTATCCTACTTTAAATTCTCATTTCAAATCCGTAAGAGTTTTAATACGCTTGTACCAAGTCCTAGTTCCCTAAAAAAGTAGTACCATTACCGTTTATAGTACTCATCCTCAGGACCTGCACAACTAATTCCTAAAGACCACCTTGCTCCGCAGAACACTTTTACTATAAGGGAGGGGGGAAAGTCCTGGCGCATAGATCATTTATGGACCAGGCAACGGGTTCTCTGCATTACAAAGAGCCCCACTACAGCCTCACCGACTCCTAAACCTAAGCGGCAAACGCCTTGGGGCAGCCAACCAGGGCCAGAAGAGACCGAAGTTGTAGGGGCAATGGGCTAACTGGCAGAGCCTATTTACCTCTCGGTCAAATCTCCCAGGTCTGCGCAGCGCTGGGTCTAGCGCGTCCGGCCGGTTGGTGGATCCCACCA